TTTTTTGTCTGGGCTACTTTTTTGATAAAACTTACCGTTTTCGAAAAAAATCTAAAAAACGTCAAATTTCGACCTTTGACCCCGAATAACTTTTTTAGCACACATGGGATCGATGGGGACTTTTGACACTTTATTCCTAATGGTGTACTCAATATCTCCACCAAAATTTAGCTCTGTCGGAATTTTAGTTATTTAAAATGTTTATTTTGACCGGACTATGATGTTTACAGCAGATTTTTTTTAGTGTAATATTGACAGATGAGGGAGACAAACTCTACAACCCAAGGAGATTATACTAAAATGGCCACTTTTCTTTCAGAAATTAGAGAGGAAAAACTTACTTTACTGTTAGAGTCGTTGAAAAATAATTTATACTTCTTCAAATTTTTATTTTTTTTATGTTTATATTGTTTATATTTTATATTTTTGTGTTTATATTTTAACAGTTTTAAAATGAATTAGATTTAAAAATTTTTTTTTTCAATTAAACAAATTGACGGGAAATTATGAAAAAGGAAAAAAACTGAATGAAACATGGTTGGTGACAGAGACAATGACAGTGACAATTTCAATTTTCTGGTGACGAATTTAACTTTAATAATAATTTTTCAATTTTTGAACAGAGTTTGAGTGATATAATACTGATAATGAAGGTTAGATTAATTTTTAGTTTTCTACGTTCTCGAAATCAATTTTTAGAGGGCTTTTTCTTCAGCTACAAAAACTCTGATTAAAAAAATCCACGCTCGCCAAATTTTTGACTCTCGTGGTAACCCCACTGTTGAAGTTGACTTAATCACAGATTTGGGTCTTTTCCGAGCTGCAGTCCCATCTGGTGCTAGCACTGGTATTGACCCCTCTCCTTCAAAAATCCAAAAATAAAAAAAATATATTTAGGGGTCCACGAAGCTTTGGAACTTCGAGACAAAGACAAGGCAAACTATCACGGAAAATCAGTCTTTAAAGCCATCAAAAACGTGGGGCTTATAGCCCCAGAAGTGATCAAATCAAAGTTGTGTGTAACCAAACAGTGTGAAATAGACGAACTTATGGTAAACCTTGATGGGACTGAAAACAAGTCAAAACTGGGGGCAAACGCCATCCTTGGGGTGTCTCTAGCCGTGGCAAAAGCTGGTGCAGCGACGAAAAAAGTCTCCCTATTTAAACATCTAGCAGATTTGGCTGGAAATCAGGATATAGTGCTCCCAGTCCCGGCGTTTAATGTGATAAATGGGGGCTCCCATGCTGGGAATAAGTTGGCCATGCAGGAGTTTATGATTTTGCCAACGGGGGCCAAGTCCTTCACTGAGGCTATGAAGATGGGGAGTGAGGTTTACCACCATTTGAAGAATGTGATCAAGGCGCAGTTTGGTTTGGACGCCACTGCGGTGGGGGATGAGGGTGGTTTCGCCCCCAACATCCAGAACAACGAAGATGCCCTCAATTTGATCATCGAAGCGATCAAGAAGGCGGGGTARGAGGGCAAAATCGACATCGGTATGGATATTGCCGCTTCCGAGTTCTACAAAGACGGCCAATACGATTTGGACTTCAAAAACCCGAAATCTGACAAAAGCAAGTGGATTTRCGGGGAAAAACTCCTCGAGATGTACAAAGGCTTCATCAAAAAGTTTCCGGTGGTTTCCATTGAGGATCCCTTCGACCAAGACGACTGGAACTCCTGGTCGGCTATAACCTCCTCCACTGATATCCAAATCGTCGGTGATGACCTCACAGTCACCAACCCCAAACGCATCCAAACTGCCGTTGAGAAGAAAGCRTGCAATTGTCTCCTCCTCAAYGTTAACCAAATCGGTTCGGTTACRGAYTCSATKKAAGCSCACCWWTTGGCCAAAMKGAACMGTTGGGGMACMATGGTSTCYCACAGYTCMGGTGAAACTGAAGATACCTTCATTGCCGACTTGGTAGTGGGGCTTTCGACCGGGCAAATCAAGACTGGAGCCCCTTGCAGGTCCGAGAGGTTGGCCAAATACAACCAAATTTTGAGGATTGAGGAGGAATTAGGAACTAAGGCAAAATACGCAGGACGGGATTTCAAATTCCCACATTAAAACACAAATATTAATAAAAAATTTATTTATCACACGTGTACAGTCTTGACCTCTCCCTTTTCCGTGGCACCCACGAGATATTTCCCTCCTGGAAATAATCCTCAATTTAACTCAATTTCTTTCCCTTAGTTTCCAATGCCGAGTCTCCAAAAATCCAAAAAACGTTATAACCGATTTTAACAGAAAAAATACAAGGCAACAATAAAAGAAAATATTATAAAACACTGCAATAAATATACTTTTTCGAGTACGATAGGTACATAGATTAATAAGTAAAGCAAAAAAACTAATGTAAAAATAAAGAAAAATACTGGAATAAAAAAATTATTACATTTTCAGTTTTTTACATATGAAAATTCTGAAGTATACTTTTTTATCTAAATTCGTAATTTTTGATACAAAATGTCCGGAAATGCCTCTTAAGGACAATTTGAGAAAACTCAAAAAATAATAGAATAGACATTTTTTAATGAAAAGCTAAAAAGAAATACATCTCCTCAAAGATTTTTTTACCTCGTGTCTATTTTTTTTTAAGTTATCTTGAATGGATATCAAAATAATTGAAAAAAAAAGACATTTATTATTTTCGAAAGGCTTTAACTCTCTTAGGAATCATTTTTGGTCATAGGTTTATAAGAGATTTTTTCTTATACTGACATGACAATTAACCGACAAAATCTTTTACGTTTTTTTAGGACCCTCTGTATATATTTTTTAAGTTGGGTATTTAAATTTCTACGTTTTTGCGCTTTTACGTTTTTCACTCTGTGTATTTTATGGTTTTACTGTATATATATTTACGTTTAAGTCATCCAAACTGCCATTGATAAAAAAGCTTCCAATTGTCTCCTCCTCAAACCAAATTTTGAGGATTGAGGAGAAATTAAGAACTAAAGCAAAATACGCAGGGCGTGATTTCAAATTTCCTCAAAAATAAAACAAATTTATTAATAAAAGTTTTTATTTATCACACGTGTACAGTCTTGTCCTCTCCCTTTTTCCGTGTCA